GACTCTCCACTAATGTGAAATACATAAAGAGAACATTAACATTAACTTTTCGAGGCCACTTAGGAATCCTTTAGAGCCTGAAACATCCTGAAGAACAATTGTTTCCTGTAAATATTTTGCCCCTTGATAAACTTAACATCAAAATGTTGTTGGGAATAGCAGCTTCATGCTCATCCAGGATTTAAATGACCCCCAGTTAGAGTACATTTTTCACCTGAGATCATGTAGTTCTTTCTGTGCGATGGATCATCTTTGTTTTGTTCCATTAAACAGAACGATGAGCTTATTGTTCATTTATCAGCTGTAAACTAATGCATGCTAATTATTTAAAACATTGTTGTAAAGTGACCACTTTCTAAGTAAATGGATTTATTGATTCACATTCATTAGTATAAAAATAATAATTTAGCTACTTCTCTCTCACTTAACCCTATTGTTGTACCTAAAACTAAAATCTCGTTGGCTTCAAGTCGATTTTGACTCATAGTGACCATATAGGACAGAGTAGAACTGCTCCATAGGGTTTCCAAGTCCATAGTCTTTTACAGAGGAGCTCTAGTAGCGTAGTGCCTAAAGCACTTGACTGCTAACCCGAAGGCTGGTAGTTCAAACCCACCAGCCACTCCTCGGAAGGAAGGTTGGGCAATCTACTTCTGTAGTGATACTGCCTCGGAAACCAAGGAGGGGTCGCTATGAGTCACAGTCAACTCGATGGCATATTACAACAACAATCTTTTACAGAAGCCGAATGTCATGTCTTTCTTCCATGGAGTGGCTGGTGGGGTCCAGTTGCCAGCCTTTCAGTTAGCAGCCTAGCACTTAACCACTGCACCACCACCAGGGCTTCTGTTTTACCTTAGACAAAGTACACATACATTTAACATCTTAAGTATAAAACCCAATATTAGATCATATATCACTTAGATTTCTGTTTTCTGTGAATTATATATGTGAATGTGTTATGTTACGAATACATTAAAAATATGTTCTGAAGTTTTAGTTCTTACAATATTTTCTCTCTTTGACCTTCTTACCCTGTTGATCATGTGTCTACTTGTAATGGAAGCCTGAGCTACATCCTCCCAGAGAAAAGCATATGGTGCAAGCCTTGAGTGGATAGCAGTAGCAACATCAAGCTAGAACTTTTAGCTCATTTCTTATCATTCTTTGTATCTACTATTCTTTTCAGTGTCTTTAATGAGCTTCTGCTTTGGACACTGGGATTGAGCAGCAACTAAACTGTATGTTATTTGATGTTTTGGGGTATTTTCCTTATTGCTCACCAAAAAAAAAATCTTGGGGGAAAAAAAGACATTATTATTTTACTAGTACTGGCTGGTAGGAAGACTATCCATCAGAGCAATTAAGGCTCTTACTGTGAGATGCTAAGAGAGCTACAAAATGAGGCAGATACTGTCCTGACCCTGAGGAGTTTATATTCTAATGGAAGGTTTCAGAAATTAAACACAAATACACATACACAACACCTGTAACAAGAGGTAGCACGTGATGAATTACTTGAAAGGTATAAAGCTGTAGTATGGGGAATCTTATCTTTTCTTAAATTTTCCATGTCTAAAATTGTATCTCAGCAAAGTAGATGATCTGGGAGGTGCAACCAAAGACACCTGTACCGCACACCACGGCCATAGGTGTTTCAAACACTAAAGAATTGATTTAACCTTAGACTAGCCACTCCTCAGAAGGAAGATGGGGCAATCTACTTCCGTAGTGATACTGCCTCGGAAACCCAAGGAGGGGTCGCTATGAGTCAGGTCCGACTCGACGGCACATAACGACAATAACAGCCTGTATGCACCTATAAATCATAGCAAAAGGATCAAAAGTCATGACAGCTAAAAGACAAAGGCTACAGCAGGCAAGGTAGAAACCTAATTACTGAGATTCAAGTAGATAGGATTCAGAGATGCAGGCGAAGCAAACTGGACAAAAGCTATTGAGGGAGTCATGGAATACACAGATACTAGGCAGCTTTGGACAAGGTACCAAAGACAACGTAAAACAAAGCCTACTCATCTGCAGCCCAAAGTGTCATATGTATTTCCTGTTGAGATAAAGCTATTTCTTCAACTTCCTTATTAGCATATTTTTAAACACAAATCTTTTGGATAAATTTAGAAAAAGTTGTATTTTTAGTGCAGTTTTAATATATTTATTTCTGGTATGTCTACGTAATATTTCTTAAGGTAAAGATACTGTTGCTGGAATTGATGCTAAGCCAGCTACCACATCATCATCATCATTGTTATCATCTGTCATTTATTAAATGCTTGTTATGTCTCCAATAATGTGTTAAGTGCTTTACATGCATTATTGTATTTAATTCTTGTAGAAAACTTAAGAGTTGGTACCATTGTTATATGGGATTTAGAGAAACTAATTGGCTCAAGATCACAATTGATGTAGCCAGGTTGCAGACCCATTATGCCGTCTCACTCCAGAGCATATGCTCGTAATTATTGCCTCTATTACCCCCTAGGGAGCTCTGGTAGCATAGTGGCTAAAGCACTTGACTGCTAACCAGAAGGCTGGCGGTTCAAACCCACTAGCCACTCCTCGGAAGGAAGGTTGGGCAATCCTACTTCCGTAGTGATACTGCCTTGGAAACCCAAGGAGGGGTCGCTATGAGTCGGGGTCGACTCGACGGCACATAACAACAACAACAACAACATTACCCCCTAGAGTTGGAATTTACAGTTTGTCATTTGAATTTAGGTGATGTAATAGTCCCATGAACAAAAATAAAATAACACCTGAACTGTTTTCCTATCCAATTATAAATTATTTTAAAAGATACAACAGCAAACTGCTTCTCTTTTTGTTATAAAAATAATAAAATCTCCCAAACACAGTACACCATCTAGTGAATTTACTTTATAGCTTCAAAAAATTTCCTAAAACTTTGATTTTTCATATAAATGATATTTCCAAAAAATATATAGATAAAATACTTCAATATATTCCTCAACTTGAGATCAAATTTACTTTCAATCAATTTAATGAAAACATATAAATATATGATACATTTTATATATGTGCCTATGTTTGTATATATGTATATATGTGTGTGTGTGTGTATATATATATATAGAGAGAGAGAGAGAGAGAGAGAGAGACATAGATTATGTGGAATACACCCATTGAAATGCTGTTCTAGACAATGGCTAAAGACATTCTTATTTAAAGTAAGTTGCCTTTGATATTTTAAAATGAAATTAGTTTAGAAAAAGAATGAAACTAAATTTTCTTCCAAATAAATGCACTATAAGTAAGTAATCTTCCTTCTAAAACCAAACACAGCAGTTCTGTTTACACAGATATTACCTGGAAAAAAGATGGCAATTTTTTGAGGAATTTGTTATTCATTTTGATAATTGAAATTTTATCCAACAATATAGAAAGTTAATATGGACTAACAAAAGCCAATTTCTCACCTAATTTGAATGTACAGTTATAGAATAATATATTTGATTATTAAAAGTTAAGAGAACCATAGAAATAAACCTTTTATTTTACGTTTGAAGAAAAGGATCAGTTACTTACTGACTCAAAAATATGTGGCTAGATAGTGGGAGATACTCGGGGAAAAAACAGATTATTTGAATCTAATCTAATGTTTGTACTATACTCTGTTGCCATTCAATTTATCTTGGCCAAAATGTTTATGTGTATCTAATATTTGCAGTTAATTTGTATTTGTTTATTAGATAATGATAAATTACAGTGAATGGTTTATAGAAGATAATCATTCTTTTAAGACTTTGTAAAATTTGCCAGTATCTGTGGTTAGAAAATTCTCTCTTACACATTTGATTAGATAAGGATGTTTTAAAACTACATTTCAAATACATATAAAGAAAATATATGTATGTTCTCTTAACCCAGTAATAACCATATTTGATATTACTAAGAATACTGTTATAACACCATTTAGCAATGGTACAGTAGTAATACTGGGTATATATATATATATATTTATTTACGTTATGATAGACACCGTATTATGCACTTGACATATATTTCTAATTTTCAGAACAGCCCTGCAAGAAAGATATATCCTCATCGTCTTGTAAGCAGGCTTTTAAAAGTTAAATAATTTGCTCAGGTTTACACATCTAGTAAGAATTTTGCTCAAACCTAGGTTTTCCAGATTCCGAAGTCCGTATTTTTATATGCCAACATGCTGACTCCCAGCAAGTTATCTTTTGTTGTCAAAAATAAAATAAAATATGGTCCATTAGTTTTTACATTAAATGTATTTTATGAGAATAAGTCATTAACATAAAGCATTTATGATGATTTTTGATTTATCAGAATATTTGAACACCCTGAACGGCCTACACCCTGGCTGTGCCAGTTAACTATTTCAATTCCAGGAAGTTTGAACTATTGTAAATAATAATGCCTTTTTCTAATATTTCCAGGACTCATCAAAATTCCAGGAACAATTGAAAATTAAACTTTTGTCTTTTCTCTTGGCATTACTAAAATAGTTAGCGTTTTAATAATTAGATTTTCTATTATCTCCAGGTTTTCAGTGAAGCAAAATGGCTGAAAGAGAAACTTTTGATGGCTACCAGAATTGGTTTTTATAGGATGTAATGGCAACTTTACCATACTCTTTCCTCCAATTTTATTCAAAAATAAAAACTTCTTCTCCCTAATGTCCAGCCAATTGTTATTTCCCAGATTTCACCTACATGCTCTTCCCTGAGGCCATTGCTGTTTAGAAACTGTTTTAATGGCTCTCATTGGGGTGTGGTGAAAACGCTCTAATGCCTTTGCTAAAGACAAGGGTTTCCTATAAATTGAATTTTTCTTTTAGGATAATTGCCATTCACTCTTATTTTATATGCAACTGAATGGGGTTTTGCAGTATCCTCTGTGGACAATTAAAGTGCTGAAATTGGAGAAAGCTAATAACTGCTTTGTGTGGTAATACTGACAACTTCTGCATGTTTGTCAATCTGTGTTAACAGTATCGATCAGGATGGGATCCTCATAGAGGGGCAGATAATGTTTCCACTAAATCTTCGGACAGTGATGTAAGTGATATATCTGCGGTTTCGAGGACTAGTAGTGCTTCTCGTTTCAGCAGCACAAGCTACATGTCTGTCCAATCAGAGCGGCCAAGAGGAAACAAGAAAATCAGGTGAGTCAGGGGACTTTAGCAGTAAACCCCTCTAAACAGACTTTAGAAGGTCTTCCTTTTTCTTCTTCCTTTGTATAAACTGAAAATCCTTTTTCCTGAAAGATTAAGGTACATCATTAAGGCACCAAGAACTTCTGTATACATTACTTTTCATTGTATTTTGGGGTACATTTCAGATTTCTTGCATAGAAAATAATTTTATGGAATTGAAGAGGTTTGCTTACTATATTATTTGAAGTATATCATTAGTTGTTTTTTTAATGTTCTAGTTAAAAATAATGTTATTATTATATTTTTACTGAGCTTAAAGTAAAATTAAAGTGGCAGTTAAGTAAAGGTGAATAGAAAAACAATATTTGTGGAGGTTTTTTTTTGCTGAGTACATAGGAGGCTCTCCCATCCTCCTGAAATTTTTATAAAAACATGTAAAAAGTCTTCAGCTTCTAAAGGAAAATTACAAATGAAATATATACTAGTATAACTTGAATTTCTCATTTGATGTATTACAGTTATGGGCATCTGAGCTAACAGACTTTTTTACCCCTATCGGGTTAAAAATCCCTATAATGGAGAGAACCCAATCTTTCACCCTGTTTCTATGAAAGATCATAAAAAGATAATAGGATTTTGAAACAGTTATGATTAAGTGTTGCTTACACAATGCTACTCTGATAGATACTGAAAAAGTTTTCTGTGTTTAAAAGATGTGCTTTTTACTTATGTTTATTAGTTTTTTGTTACCTTTCTGTTTAATTTCTTATGCATTTCTTTCATTTCCTTTTTGTGTTTATTTGCATGCCTTCGGTTTGTGTTGCTTTCAAAAGACCAAAGGGAATAGAAGAGGGAGGGAAAGAAGGGGATAAGCATGAAGAGATAGTTCATAAGGAGGAAGAGGTAAAGGAAGAAAACACTCATGAGAAGGAGAGAGGGAGAGAGATTACAGAAACCTGTCATAAGGAGAGAAACCAGGAATCAGGAGAGGAGGAAAAAGCACAAGATATACCTGAGGAAGGGAAAGAGGACGAACAATGGAGTAAAGAGGATTTGCAAAGGCAGTTCTCTCAAGAGGATGCCAGGTAAAATGTGCTTATCTGTGTGTAGATATTTCCCATTAGTAAAGTAGTCCTTTTTCCTACTCCAAAAATGATTTTTTGCCATTTATGTCTGGCTTATTTATCTTGTGTTTTATCTACTTGGCTTCTAATACAACCTATTAATGTGTTGGTAAATTATTATCAAATATATTGATTTATTGCACAGTGCTTGGTTAAACAGTTGGTTGCTAATTGAAAGGTCAGCAGTTCAAACCCACCAGCTGCTCCATGGGGACAAGATGGGACAAGGATTTTAGCTTGGAAACTCTATGGGACAGTTCTACCTTGTCCTATAAGGTAACTTGAGTTGGAATCAACATGATGTCAATGGTTTTTGGTTTGGTTAATCATTAATCTTTAACTTTTAGCTCTGAGAGTATCTTAATAATTAATGAATCAAATTTAAATTTCCCTTTAGTATGAATAGCTGTATCTCTTCCCCATTTGTACAGGAATATATGAGTGAAAAAGAGAAACTTGCAAATTCTTTACCAGTAGTAAAGACTGCTTCAGAGGGAAAGAGAGTGAGACCTTTAAAATGAGGTTCTGAGAGAGCTGAAAAATTTGAGCCTAGGGAATAAGAATTATTATATACTGGGAACGAACTTCACAAATGAGTGATAAAATATGTGGCAAAAAGTAAGCTTTGTTAGTTTCTGCTTGCTTTCCTTCCCTTAGTTTTCTAGTGCAGTTAGACTCTGAGGAAGATCACAGTGCAGGGCCAATGCCCTTGGGTACTTGGAAAAGACAGATGCCCCCGGGGCTTATTACAAAGCACATTGTTGAGTTAGGCCCATCAGGAAACTCATTTCTGCTAGAGAGCTGCCCAAGGAGCAACTTGGAAAAGGAGAAAAAGGGCTAAGAGACCCAACCAGCAAAGCATAAAAACAATTACATTGTTACTTTCATAACACAAAGCATAAAATAAGAATGAAGCTAGCTTTGCAGTGTTGTCCTGAAAGTCAAGTCAGCACAAGTATGTTATCCTTTTGCTTAAGGAGATGAGGTTGCTCTAATTGCATACATCTAAGATAGAGAATTGCAAATCATCTACATTTTGCAGGAATTGAGGTTTCTAGTGGTCTGGTAGCATAGTGGCTAAGACACTTGCCTGCTAACCAGACGGGTGGCGGTTCAAACCCACCAGCCACTCCTCGGAAGGAAGGTTGGGCAATCCTACTTCCGTAGTGATACTGCCTGGGAAACCCAAGGAGGGGTCGCTATGAGTCGGGGCCGACTCGACGGCACATAACAACAACAACAACAAGTGGTCTAAAATTTGATACTGTGTTAGTACAAAGTCTGCTTGATAAGCAACACCTATTATGAACCAAATTTTACATTATTTTATCTAAACCCAATCTCAATTTGTGTTTAATCATAACTAATGAGAAAGATGTTTGAGGCAGACATTCATCTCTTGAGTATACAGTTTAGTTGATGATAAAATAGTTTAGTCGATGACAATTCACTTTTTTCTCTCAGACTGGAATATTTAACTATGTCTGTGACCTTTGAAAACTTATGTATAATGGTTAGGCATTAAATTTAAAATGAATCTTAAGTTAGGAATATTTTGTGATTTGAGTCTTAACCAGTAATTTTAAGTCTATTTTGTTACTTATCTGACTTTTGATAATTACATTGGCTTATTGAGAAAGATGACCATTTATCTGATTTTTGAGGTCTAGGATCACTCCATCATTAATTCACAGAGAAAGCTTTCCAAAGTTTCCTTTCTTCCCAACACATAGAAAAATGTTAGTCTCTAATGTGTTTTCTTCTCCAGATACTGTACATGTAGGGACACTTGAGCCCACTGGTGTTTGCCTGGAGCCAAAAACCCTTACTGGCTTGGAGGGTAGATGTTTGGAAGAGAGTAGAACCTTAAGCTTCCTTTATTTTAATTTACCTTCTTCATTATGTTCTTCACGAAAAGAATACATTATTTTATAGGGAAAAGGGAAAGATAGTATATTCCTAGCAATCTGATTCATTAAAGCACTATACTCAGCTTAAAACCCACTGCCATTGAGCTGACTCATTGCAACCCTTTAGAGCAGAGTAGAACTGCCCCATATGGTTTCAAAGGCTGTAAATCTTTATGGAAGCAGAGTACCTCATCTTTCTCCTGTGTAGTGGCTGGTAATTTGAAACATGATCTCTTTGGTTAGTAGCTGAATGCTTTAACCACTGTGCCACCAGAGCTCCTTGTACTCAGCTTAAGTAATTGTATAGTATTTCTGGAACTGTAAATTAAAGGAGGCCATGATGCTTTCTCAATGGAACATTGGCAGGCTTGCCTCATTTTATTGTGCTTGGTTTTATTGCGCTTCATGTTTTACGAGTTGAAGGTTTGTGTCAACCATCCACTGAACAAGTATGTCAACACCATTTATCCAACAGCATGTGCTCACTTTGTGTCTCTATGTCACATTTTTTGTGACACTTACAGTATATCAAACTTTTCATAATGCTATTACACACTTAATAGACTATACTATAGTATAAATATAACCTTTATATGCACTGGCAAACCAAAACAATTGTGTGACTCGCTTTATTGCAATACTTGCTTTATTGAGATGTCCTGGCACTGAATCCACAATACCTCCCAATTATGCCTGTTCCTGTTAGATAGCAAGACATCAAATGCAGTTGTTTGTCATACTGTGTTGGTGTTATTCGCCAGTTACTGCAACATACAATCCTGGAACTGCTTTTATTTCTGAGAATAAATCCAAAGACTCTTATTCTGCGGGAAAATATGACTATCCTCAGCAAAGTTTTGTTTTAGTAGTTGATAAACGCAATCATAAGTTGCTTAAAAGCTGAAAAAAAAAAAAAAAGAGTATATGCTTATGTAATATTGTTGGAAAGAATCTTGTTCTAAAATGTACCATTGGGAGTTCCGGCAAGATGGCGGGCTAGGCAGAAGGACTGCACAGATACTCTTCAACAAAGGAAAGGGAAACCAATTAACACAGACACAGAAGATAATCTTGGACCCCTGAGGCTTGAAGGGAAGGATACAAAAGTGGACTAAACCCCAACTAGCAGAAGAATTTGGGTGAAAATACCAAAAAAGGAGACACATGGAGCTGCGGTCTGGCAGCGGCCTGAGCAACCCTGATGGCACAGACAACAGGGCTTG